GACAGAAAAATTGTTACTGAGGGATACAGAATTGTTACTGAGGGCCACAGAATCGTTACTTAGGGGGCCACAGAAACGTTGTTCTTAGGGCCACAGAAACGTTACTTAGGGGCCACAGAAACGTTACTTAGGGCCACAGGAAATTGTTGTTATCTCAGGGACAGACACAGAATTGTTACTGAGGGACACAGATTTGTTACTGAGGGCCACAGAATCGTTACTTAGGGCCACAGAATTGTTACTTAGGGACAGACACAGAATTGTTATTGAGCGGGACACAGAATCGTTACTAAGGGCCACAGAAAAGTGTACTTAGGGCCACAGAATCGTTACTTAGGGCCACAGAAACGTTACTTTAGGGCCACAGTAAACGTTACTTAGGGCCACAGAAACGTTACTTAGGGCCACAGAAACGTTACTTAGGGCCACAGAACACGTTACTCATGGGACAGACACAGAATTGTTACTGAGGGACACAGATTTGTTACTGAGGGCCACAGAATCGTTACTTAGGGCCACAGAAACGTTACTTAGGGCCACAGAAACGTTACTTAGGGCCACAGAATTCGTTACTTTAGGGACAGACAACAGAATTGTTATTGAGGGACACAGAATTGTTACTAAGGGCCACAGATTCGTACTTAGGGCCACAGAATCGTTACTTTGGGCCACAGAAACGTTACTTAGGGCCACAGAAACGTTACTTTGGGCCACAGAAACGTTACTTAGAGGCCACAGAAACGTTACTCATAGGGACAGACACAGAATTGTTACTGAGGGACACAGATTTGTTACTGAGGGCCACAGAATCGTTACTTAGGGCACAGAAACGTTACTTAGGGCCACAGAACGTTACTTAGGGCCACAGAATTGTTACTTAGGGACAGACACAGGAATTGTTATTGAGGGACACAGAATTGTTACTAAGGGCCACAGAATCGTTACTTAGGGCCACAGAATCGTTACTTAGGGCCACAGAAACGTTACTTAGGGCCACAGAAACGTTACTTAGGGACACAGAAACGTTACTTAGGGACACAGAATGTTACTCAGGGACAGACAGAATTGTTTTACTGAGGGCCACAGAATCGTTACTGAGGGCCACAGAATCGTTACTTAGGGCCACAGAAACGTTACTTAGGGCCACAGAATTGTTACTTAGGGACAGACACAGAATTGTTATTGAGGGACACAGAATTTGTTACTGAGGGCCACAGAAACGTTACCTTAGGGCCACAGAATTGTTACTCAGGGACAGACACAGAATTGTTACTGAGGGACACAGAATTGTTACTGAGGGCACAGAATTGTTACTTAGGGCCACAGAATTGTTTACTCAGGGACACAGAATTGTTACTCAGGGACAGACACAGAATTGTTACTCAGGGACCAGATCGTTTAATTAAAGAGTATGTCAGACAACATGCAGAGGAGTGGCAGAGGAGGGGCAATGTTTTAGGAAAAGCCGGCGAGCAGACGTGTTGGCAGCAGAGAAAGGGGTCGAGGCAGAGCACTATTCGCAGCCAGAGGCCAGTGCTCCCGGTGTCATCCAAGCGGTCGTCGTCTACACCGACAACCCTGCCGTCATCGATTGGTTGACTCGGTCGTCTTCCCCTTCCCAGGTCACCTCTGACACTACAGCCCAACGGTCGGTGGGTACGTCAGACACAACCGTTAGTTGGCATGGCCCGGGACCAAGCTCACTGAAATCACGTGTCCTTACTGCCCCTGTCCTTTGGTGTTCCCTCACCAAGCGAAGTATCGCATGCTGTGGGCTCAGCCCCACTGTACAGTGAGGAAGAGCAAACAGAGGGCGGTCAGGAACGGGGGGAGACATCCGCCTCTTCAGCAGCCAGGCGAAATAAGTAGTGGCGAGGAGAGTGGCTCGGTAGCCGGTCTAGAGACAGGTCTGTCTCTGACCCACACGCAGCCGAGGGGGCTAGTAGTGAGGCGGAGGACCCTAACTTGATGAGGAGGCTGATAGCACTTGGCAGCCTCGTCGTCATCAGGCTATTGCTTCCGCATCATCAGGAGAAGAAGAGCGGTGGCAGCTTGGCAGCGAGCAAACAGTCGGTGGGTTGCCCAGGAGGCAGCAGGGTAGCAGCAGTGTCAGTGGAGGAAAACGGCCACGGAGTACAGCACCCAGCTCCACTGCAGCCTACCACCACGGCCAGTAGTGGTGCCGGTGTGCACGGAGGAAGCAGCAGCAGTCAGGCAGTGAGGAGTAGCGGGGGCAAAGTTTCCTACTCGGCGGTGTGTGGCAATTTTTTGTCAAGCCGCCCGAGGAAGTAAACGTAGACCGTTTATGTCGACTATGTGGCCAGAAAGTCAAGCGTGGCCAGGGGGCCCATGTTGGGACTACAGCGTTGCGGCAGCATATGCAGCGTCGCCATTTGGTGGCCTGGGAAAACCGTGATAAAGATACGGCGGTTTTGCCCGAGCCCCAGCCCCCGCTCCATCACCAGCTCCGTTACTTGCTCCGTCACCCGACGTCAATCGCCCTCTATCAGCCCAGTCAAGGCTCCAACACTCTGCTGAGGGGAGATTTGTCGCTCGTTGCCATCTTCCGCTCGTTCAGATGCTCCTTCTCCTGCTACTCCTGTTCACGGATTCCGTCAGCAGTCTTTCTTGGAATCCGATTCCAAGAGACAACAGTTTGCGAGCACGCACCGACGGTGCAAAAGCTGAACGTCCTCCTGTCCAAGTTGCTGGTGCTGCAGTCCCTCCCTTTCCAAGTGGTGGACTCGGCACCTTTCCGAGAAATGATGGCTTGTGTGCCGCGCCGCGGTTGGGAGTGCCAAGCCATCATTTTTTCGCCAAAAAGGCAGTGGCCCAGACCCTGCATTCACATGTAGAAGAGATGGTGGGCCAGTCTTTAAGCATGTCGGTCTCTGCCAAAGTGCACGGCAGCGCCGACGTGTGGAGCTGTAACTACGGTCAGGGACAGTACATGTCATTTACGGCTTCCCAACTGGGTTGAACGTGGTGCCGTCACAGCCGCACCAGCAACTTGGACAGGTCACGCCGCTTTTGCCTCCACGTTTGCACGTCCTTGGTCCACAAAACATGTCCGCCTCTTCCACTCTTTCTTCCTTCGTGTCCTCAGCCGCCACCCCGTGCCAAGTCCATTACCCGACCGGCATATCACATGTGAAGGCATTGTCGCAACGGTCTGTCACGCTGTGCTGCACCTGGTATGCCTTGGCGAACGTAGGCACACAGGGGAGGAACTTCTCAGTGTAATGCACCGAACAGAGAAATCGACAGATGGCTGTCTCGCCCGCGCAAAACTCAAAATCGGAACCATGTTTGACCGACAACGGAAAGAACATGGTGTCTGCGGTCTCTGCGTCAAGGAAGGTTGTGCCATGCGCCATGCATGGCTCACGTGTTCAATCTGGTTGTCAAGCGGTTCCTAAAAACCACCATCCCACTGCAAGACATCCTTAAAATGTCACGTAAACTTTTGCATGGCATTTCAGCCATTCCTACACCGCAAAGCACACCCTCCTTGAGCTGCAGCGGCAGCCCATCCAGAACGGAATTCCACAGCATCGCCTGATCTGCGACGTTGCAACAAGGTGGAATTCAACCCTACACATGTTAGACCGCTTTACGAACAGCGAAAGGCCATCACGATTTCCTGATGTTACAAGCGGATATAAAGGTACTCCCCTGTGTAACTTCGATATGTCAGCCATTGGCAGCTCATGCGTGACACCTGCCGCTTGCTCAGGCCCTTTGAGGATGGCCACGCTATTCGTGAGTCGCCAGGACTATGGATGAACGACGTCATTCCTCTGTTGCACGTCCTGGAACAAATGCTGTTAACAACGGCTGGTCAGGGTGCGGTAGACGTGGCGCACAGATCTCAACGCCACATGACCCTGTGGGGGCAGGACAGGAAGAAGAGGAGGAGGTAGAGGAGGAGGACATTTGTGCTCAGGAATTATTGAGTGAAATGGGTGGTTTTTCACTCAGCGGACAGGAGGTGGAGGAGCAGGAGCATGTGGTAGAGGAGGAGGAGGAGGAGACAGAGGACCCAGACGCACCGTGGCAGTATGCTGTGGAGATGGAGGCAGGGAGTCCCTCGCATTCCTTGGCACAAATGGCCCATAGCATGCTCGGTTGCTTGCGTAGCGACAGCCGAATAATAACCATCAGACAGAGGGGATGACGTTTTGGCTGTCCACCTTGTTGGACCCTCGCTACCGTTCAAAAATGGTGGCCTTTTTCACACCTGCTGAGAGGGAGGCCAAAATAACGTACTATAAAAAACCACCTATGTAGTCAGTTGGTCTCTGCCTTTGTGCGCCAACGTCCATCCTCAGACACTGTGGGCCCTGTGCGCTCGCGTTCCGCTGCCATGGCAGCAGGGGAGGGGTGGGGTGATAGGAGCAGTGGCAGCTCCACCAGCAGCGGCTGCCTCAGTCTGCAGTCGATGATGAGTAGCTTTCTTCACCAGCACAGTGAGGAAACTACTAACCAGCCGCAGCAGCAGCAGCATCAGGTGGACCTGGAGCAGGACCTCAAACAACAGGCTTGGGCCTACTTGGACAGCACCCTGCCAACCGAGGTAGACAATCCCCCTTGACTACTGGGCAACGAAACTTGACCTTTGGCCCCAAAAAACTAAGCTGAATTTGCCCTTGAAAGGCTGTCATGCCCGGCCAGTAGCGTGGCATCGGAGCGCGTGTTTAGTGCGGCAGGAGGTATTGTAACTCCGCGGAGGACACGACTGTCCACCCAAAGTGTGGAGACTCACGTTTGTGGAAAATGAATCAGGCGTGGATTAGTCTGGATTTCAAACCACCAGTTCCTGACACAACTGATTAAATGCCCGCCAGGTTGAATCATGCCCCTGCCATGTGCCACTTTCACCCCCCGTTGCGTCTACTCACACTGCTGGGTGTGCCACGTTTTCCATTTTTTGTCATATGGGGTGCTGGCATTGGTGTGATTACGGCCTCCCATAGCTGCTGCCAGGCCCCTAATCTGCCATGGGCCCCTGTACCGCCTCCTCATGCTGCTGCCAGGTCCACAGTGTCTCTCATGCCATGTGCCACTTTCAGGTCTCCTCACACAATGCTGGTGTGTTCAATTTTTGACATAGGGTGCTGGCAGATTACGGGCCTCCCATAGCTGCTGCCAGGCCCCTAATCTGCCATGGGCCCCTATACCGCCTCCTCATGCTGCTGCCAGGTCCAGAGTCTCTCATGGGTCCCTGTACGGCCTCCCATTGCTGCTGTCTCCATCGCCACACTCTGCCATGTGCCACTTTCAGGTCTCCTCACACTGCTGGTGTGTTCCATTTTTTGTCATAGGGTGCTGGCAGATTACGGCCTCCTATAGCTGCTGCCAGGCCCCTAATCTGCCATGGGCCCCTATACCGCCTCCTCATGCTGCTGCCAGGTCCAGAGTCTCTCATGGGTCCCTGTACGGCCTCCCATTGCTGCTGTCTCCATCGCCACACTCTGCCATGTGCCACTTTCAGGTCTCCTCACACTGCTGGTGGGTTCCATTTTTTGTCATAGGGTGCTGGCAGATTACGGGCCTCCCATAGCTGCTGCCAGGCCCCTAATCTGCCATGGGCCCCCGTACCGACTCCTCATGCTGCTGCCAGGCCCGTAATCTGTCATCATGGGCCCCTGTTGTCGCTTGTTGGCATATTCCGCTCGTTCAGATGCTCCTTCTCCTGCTACTCCTCTTCACGGATTCCGTCAGCAGTCTTTCTTGGAATCCGTTTCCAAGAGACAACAGTTTGCGAGCACGCACCCGACGGTGCAGAAGCTGAACGTCCTCCTGTCCAAATTGCTGCTGCCAGGCTCGTAATCTGTCATGCGCCCCTGTACCGCCCCCCCATGCTGCTGCCAGGTCCAGAGTGTGTCATGGGTCCCTGTACGGCCTCCCATTGCTGCTGCCAGGCCCGTAATCTGCCATGGGCCCCAGTACAAACTCCTCATGCTGCTGCCAGGCCCGTAATCTGCCATGGGCCCCTGTACCGCCTCCCCATGCTGCTGCCAGGTCCAGAGTGTGTCATGGGTCCCTGTACGGCCTCCCATTGCTGCTGCCAGGCCCGTTAATCTGCCATGGGCCCCCGTACCGACTCCTCATGCTGCTGCCAGGCCAGGCCCGTAATCTGTCATGGGCCCCTGTACCGCCTCCTCATGCTGCTGCCAGGTCCAGAGTGTGTCATGGGTCCCTGTACGGCCTCCCATTGCTGCTGTCTCCATCGCCACACTCTGCCATGTGCCACTTTCAGATCTCCTCACACTGCTGGTGGTTTCCATTTTTGTCATAGGGTGCTGTATGGCCTCCCATTGCTGCTGCCTCCACCGCCACACTGTGGCTCCACACTCTGGTTTTGGCCCCGTGACTGGCCAAATGAGTGAAGTGTGCGGTGATTCTAAGATCGACGGCACTCATCTGCATGTCATACTGACTGACAGTATTATTTCTCTTCCCCAGCAGACTCCAAGGGCATTTAAATTAAAGGTACAGTGTTCTGCACTAATATAAAGTCTCTCTGAAGCCTAGAAACACCCTTTTATATGTTAAATTCGCAGCGAATATATTCGACTCGAATCAAAATTTTTCCATGAATTCGCCGAATCAGTCGAAATCGAAATTTTTGAATATTTCGCTCATCTCTAATTGCTATCACAGGGGATATTTACATTCCCTGTGCTGACAATAAAGTGATTAATAAAAAAAAAAAAAAAAAAAAATGAAAAAGGGACTATAAAAATGAAAAAAAAAATCAAAATAAATAATTTTTTAAAAATGAATAAATAAAGCAACCTCATCCTCCAGCACAATGGCATACGCAAGCATCGGCCCTGTGTCACTATGTAAACAGCAGTTGCACCATGCATGTGAAGTATCACTGTGAACGACAGATTGAGGACAGTAATTCTAACACTAGACCTCCTGTGTAAATCTAAAGTGGTAGCTGAAAAAGCCTTTTAAACATCACCTATGGATATTAAAAATGTTATGTAGTTTGTTGCTGTTGCACGGGGGCGTGCAGAGTTTTTAGACTATGTAATTTTTGGTACCTATTTACTCAACATATAAAATATGTTATGCTGCCAAAAACAACTGGCCAATATATTGCGTTTTTATGCATTAAAATTCAAAAACTGTATTTTTTTTCCAACAAATTGTGTTTTAAAATTCACTGCGCAAGTACTGTTTCACAAAAAATTTAAACACTCAACATTTTATTCTACAGGGCTTCTGCTTTAAAAAAATATATATATTTGGGGGGTTTTATAATAATTTTATAGCAAAAAAGACTGATTTTTTTATGTGAACAAAGAATGTCAGAAAAGGCTTGGTCTTCAAGTGGGTAGAAGAGTAGGTGATGTGTGGCAGGAGCTTCTAATGCTGGGTATAAAATACCTTTTTGGAAAGTAGACACCCCAAACTATTTGCTGAGAGGCACGTTGAATCAACAGAAAAAATAATTTTTTTTACCACCAGTTTTTGGAATATGACAAAAAATGTTTTTTTTAAACACAAAGTTGTCACCCAAATTATATATTGCGCACACATGTCCTGGGTATATATGGAATTACACACCAAAATACATTCTGCTACTTCTCCCACTTCTGACCAACAAGGTCATTTTTGGTCATTTGGTCTTGAGAACGCCCTGTGGGTGGGGCGAAACGCGTTGACGCACTTCCGGTCCGTCGTCATTCTGGTCCACGTCACTTCCGGTGTTTGGAACGCACGCCGAGTTATGCGGTTCAAGCGGCCATCTTAGAGGTGGAAGGCTGTTCATCCTCTGCAGATACTACAGAAGCATGAGATCCCTATATTTGCATTGTGGAAATTGGTTATCTTGAAGCCATTTAGGCTATTAAAGAAGGCTTTTAATTATATTTAAACATGTGAATGGCCTTATTCTATCTTTATATTTTATATGAAGTGACACTATGTAGTTTTTTTTTCTATACACCATTGAGGAATCCATGGAGGAATAAAGTGGAGACTATTTATATACCTAAGCAGGGTGAAAAAAGAAGATTTGATCTCTTTTGGAGGGGTTATAGGATCCCTTATATCCTATAAGGCTCATTACTCACCTCCATCTGGTGAGTGCGGTCAATATTATTTCTCATGTGGTGGATAGGTGGAAACACATTCTGAATATTTATTACAGATACTCCTCGCTTAACGACCTACCTGTTTATCGACCGCTCGCACTTACGACCATCTCTTCACCGTTACGACCGCTCACACTTACGACCATCTCACCGACGGTACGTGCTAAAACGTGGTTACGCGCTAAACGTGGTAGCGGACGTGGTAGCGGACGTGGTAGCGGTGGTAGCGGCCCTGCTGAAATTGTACACTATTCTGAGGTCCGGTACTGCTGGTTTCCTGGTCAGTATTCAGTACTGTAAATTACTGTATTTTTTTGCGATGCAAAGAAAAAAACTTTATAAACAGCTATACTGTACTATATACTGTACTGTATACAGTCCAGGATCTCTCTCAGGCCCACACAATACAGCACAGTAGTGTGACAATACTGTATACAGTACAGATATAGTACATTACAGTATGTACAGTACAGTGTAACTATTTATAAAGCTTTTTCTTCAAGCATACAAGTTGTGTGTGATCTGGGTGCCTTATTCTGTATTGTACTTTACCCCAGATGTCTCCAAAAAGGAAAAGCAAGGTTGCACCAGAAAATGCCAAGAAACAAAGGAAGGCTATTGATCTTGAGAAGAAAATAAAGATCATAAAGGATTATGAAGGTGGCAAAAAAGTCCATGAGATAGCACATGACTTGCATCTGGCACATTCAACCATTTCAACAATCCTTAAGGATAAAGATAGAGTAAAAGAGGCAGTGAAAGCATCAACAGGCTTTAAAGCCATAATAACTAGACAGCGGAAAGGCCTAATTCATGATATGGAGAAGTTACTGGCTATCTGGTTTGATGACCAGATTCAAAAAAAGAATGCCATTGAACCTTTCAATAATTCAAGCCAAGGCACTCAATATCTTTGAGACTTTGCAAGCACGCAGCGGTTCAACCGAAACCTTTACAGCAAGTAACGGATGGTTTCAACGGTTTTCTCGAAGATTCAAGCTGCATAATCGGAGTGTCAGTGGTGAGGCAGCAAGTGCAGATGTAGAAGCAGCAGAAAAATTTGTTGACCAATTTGATAAAATCATAGAGCAAGGTGGCTACTGTCCAGAACAGATCTTCAATGTGGATGAAACTGGACTTTTTTGGAAGAAAATGCCTGAAAGATCCTATATACACAAAGAAGCTAAGACAATGCCTGGCTTTAAGGCATTTAAGGACAGGGTCACATTGTTGTTGGGAGGAAATGTTACCGGGTTTAAGTTGAAGCCTTTGCTTATCTATCGCTCTGAAAACCCACGTGCATTGAGCAGAGTTAGAAAGAACACACTGCCTGTTTACTACCGAGCAAATAACAAGGCATGGATGACTCAAGCTTTATTTGAGGATTGGTTCATCCACTGCTTCATACCCTCAGTGAAGCATTATTGTCAAGAAAAGGGCATTCCTTTTAAAATTATCCTCCTGCTTGATAATGCTCCAGGCCATCCCCAGTATCTTGATGACCTAAACACAGATGTAAAGATAGTATATCTACCTAAAAACACAACTTCAATCCTTCAGCCAATGGACCAGGGGGCCATAGCCACATTTAAAGCATACTATTTACGCACAACTTTTTCCAAAGCTGTAGCAGCAACAGAAAATGATGAAGCAACTCTCCGTGATTTCTGGAGATCTTACAACATTTTAGACTGCATAAACAACATTGAATCCGCTTGGAAGGGAGTGACAGAAAAGTGTATGCAAGGCATATGGAAAAAATGCCTAAAATGTTTTGTGAGCAATGTTACAGTTTTTGAGAAAGATGAACATATTGATGCCATAAATAAAACAACTATGGAACTTGCTAAAGTGCTTAATTTAGAAGTTGATGTGGAAGATATTGAGGAATTAGTGCAATACAGGGAGGGAGAGCTAACTACCGAAGATTTAATAGAGTTGGAAGCACAGCAGAACCTGGCGGAGGAGGAAGAAGAAAATGAAAACATGGAAGAAGTGCCAAAGAAGTTTACTGTGAAGGGATTAGCTGGTGTGTTCTCAAAAGTGAATGCAGCTATGTTCCAACTAGAGAGTATGGATCCGAATGTTGAACGATTCACAAAGGTGGAAAGACAAATAAGTCAAGTTTTACAGTGCTATCGTGAAATATATGAAGAAAAAAAGAAAATGACAAAGCAGACCACTCTAAGTGGATACTTTTGGAAAGTTACACCAAGCACTACCAATGCTTCAATTTCTACTCCATCGTCTCCCTTACCTGGGCCTTCAGCAGCTCCTGATAATAGCTCTGATGATGACGATTTTGAAGGATTCGTTGACTAAAATGATAGCCTGAATTTTTTTTTTTTGTTTGTTTTGTTTTTTTTGTTTACTGTGGAAGTTTTCAGTTTGATATTTCTTGTTATTTTACTTATTCAGAATACTGTATTGTATTGTCAAATACTATGCATATATGGAAGTTTTCAGTTTGATCTTTCTTGTTATTTTACTTATTCAGAATACTGTATTGTCAAATACTATGCATATATTGTACTACTGTATACAGTACATGCAGTTCCTCACTTAACGACCAATTCGCTTAACGACCAAGTCGTTGAAACGGAACTCGGTCGTTAAGCGAGGAGTACCTGTATTGGTTCTGATGGGAATAAGGACTTATTTTTATATGGACACTTATTGTTAATTCAGTTTTTGTTCACTTATGTAATTTTGTTTTGGATTTTGCGCTGTTTTGTTGTTTTTTATTAGGTGTCATTTTTCTGCTCACTTTGCCTTCTGATCCGGTCCGCTCATTCCCTGTCATACAACACAGCTGGTTAGCTACCCTGCATCTCCCTGTCCCACTTTGAGTGGCACCACACCAGTGATTACAGGAGGCTGATATCAAGCCAAATTCAAATATTAACACTAGTTGCATTTAAAAAAAATAAAGTTAACAATGGATACAGAGCTGCGTTACTTAGGGGTTTATTTACTAAAGCTGGAGAGTGCAAAATCAGACTCACTTCTGCATAGAAACCAATCAGCTTCCAGGTTTCATTGCCAAAGCTTCATTGAACAAGCTGAGGTTAGAAGCCGATTGGTTTCTATGCATAAGGGAGTCTGATTTTGCACTCTCCAGCTTTAGTAAATAAACCCCTTAGTGTCTTACATCTGACTGGAGATCACCAAAATCATGAATAAAAGAATTTGGTTTTATGTTTTAGTGTAGCAAGGCAGCATTGGTCCTCAGTGTGTCACAGTGAAAATTTGTATGCATTTCTGTCTACATACCCACCTGTGACCAAGCATCTATGTTTGATGTAAACATGTTTTTAGCAGCATATTCATTCCCTATTGTATTATGCAATCTAAATAGCATTTTTAATTCAAAACCACATTCCGCATTAACAACAAAAAAAACAAACAATGGTGACAAGAAGGTTTTTGTTTGGATATAAAATGATTACCAGTCTGTAGTACAGCACACTGGAGAGCAGCAGAGCCAACAGGCACATAATCAATAGAGTGACATGTGAAATATTTCCCCTATGAGATGCAACGTAGAGTATCACTTCTGCGCTCTACTGAATTACAATGACTACTTCAAAAGACCAAACTATTCTTTTCCAGGATTACAATCTTTTCTCTGACAAAGGAGGTGATTGTGCTGCAGAAGAATCAAAGCTGCCTGCAAGGAAATTTAATATGCGTTTGCTATAATGTGCAATTGCATGGTGGAATTGAATCATCTTCCTTGTAACAAACACAGAGACATCTTTTCTTTATATGCACATTGTACTGTCGAATAATCTGAATGATTTCTCTGCCAACACAGACTAAATTACGAAACCAGGATGGCAAATTTCATGATAAAGTGACATTTCTCTATTGCAATGCAGATAATATAAAGGTTAAGATAAAACTGTGCAATGAACAACATGGAATTTCTTCCTCAAACAACCAGAATATAAACATTTTTCTGTAGACTACGGCCAGAATAGAAAACACAAAAGGCATTGAACATAGCCCAATATACATGCAGGTACATAAATAAAAATACAAAGGGAATTATTTTTTAAAAATGCATAAGGAAAATAAAAGGACTAAACTAAAAACCGTTTTTTTTTGTTATGTACCAACAATGCCTATTATTCTTTCCTTAAATTATTGGAAAATTGCTCCCAGGTGTATAAACTAGTAGTAGTGAATTTGAAACATAAATTGGATTTATATAGTTCACAGTTTTAAAGCACTGACGTCACATCCATATTCTATAAATATGAAGAGAGGCAATAAAGGGAATTCAGCACAAAGCTATTCACTTTAATGGAAAACTGTACTGCGATAAATGTTGTGACTACCATTGCTGTACCCTCCTTCAGAAAATGCTAGCTGCCAGGCTGTCATGCTGATCCAGTGACTTCTAGGCTTTGTTTCACCATCCCAGAGCAAGCATACAGGCATGGAGTTAGGACTTCACTCTGAACCCAAGCTGCATGCTTTCTCCACATTCTGAAACTATTGAAGACAGCGGACTTGCTTCTCCTTGAGCTTCAACACATTTGCATTTCTATGCTGCACTTACTTTGCCCAGTATGAACCCAGTCCCTAAAAATTTAAATTTACATAGCTCAAGATATTTTCTAAAGCCAGCCATACACGGATCGAAATTAATCCGGTTCAGCTGGGACTGGGTGAATTTTGATCCATCTATGGGCAAGGCTGATTGTACCCAAGTCGACCTATCGATCAAGTTGGGTACAACCAGCCTGTTGGGTTTTTTATGCGATTACTGCCAGTGGCTGTAGCTGATGGCAATAATCATTGTGTTCTGTCTGCCGGGAAGGCTCCCTGAACCCCCTCCCCTGCTGTCAGAACACAATAGTGCTGCAGGAGGCATTCTCCCATCATCAGTGACTGTGTTGATGGGGGAATCGAGTGATTTTCTTTCCTTCCACCCATGGTGGAAGGAAAGAAAATTGAATCATCTATGGGTTGCCTAACTTGCAAGCACACTTCAGAATACCACAGAGCACTCCAGGAACCAATAGTGCAGTAAAGGTAATGTGGGGGCTCTTTCTGTGCATGTGCTGACTATGCCTATATTGTTAAACAAAGATTACACTTGTGAAAGATTTAAAGACTGGGTGCTACTTTATTATTGTTCTCCTGTACTTTTGAGTAACCCAACATTGTCAAGAGCAGGGGTCTCCAAACTTTCTAAACAAAGGACATGTTTACGGTCCTTTAGACTTTAGGTAGACAGAACTGTGTCCAGTGGGAGTAAACAATGTCTTCAGATTTGTGATCAGTGGGAGTAATAAAAATTACATAGTGCCTGTGGTCAGCAGAAGAAACAGTGCCCATCAATGTAGTCAATGGCAGGAACAGTGTCCCACCTTGGTGTCAGTGGAAAGAGTAGTGCCCCATCGTTGGCGTCCGTTGAAAGAACAGTGCCCCATTGTTAGTATTTGGCAGATGAATAGTATCCCAACTTTGGTGTCAGTGGAAGGAAAAGTGCCCCATGGGCCAGATAAAGGCAAAGGGTCGCAGTTTGGAGACCACTGGTTCCAGAATCTGACCAAGTTGGGATTTTATTCACATTTTTTACTGTAAGTATAATATACATACAGTAGTAGGAATATTTTTGTGTCCCAAGTACAAAACTTTTTTCAGTAGCCTCATTAATAAAAGATCATTTTCTGAAAGACAATTTGGTCACCTTTTTAGTTGACTTACCTTCTTCTTGACTATAAATACATTCTCCTTCAGCTTGATATTGTTGTCCTTCAATTCATGCTCATTTTTGACAGGTTCTAAAGCAGACTTGGCAATTATCTTCCAAATACGGATAAGGGAATCCTGTGAACAACTTGCAAGATACATATCCTTTCCTGGAAAAAAAATTATATAAGACCTATAACAATAACGATTATGACTACAGGACATTCAAGGTGAATATTTACTAAAGGAAGATAAGTAGATGCTTTTTCTGCAACCAATCGGTATGCTTTAAATCAAAAACCGTTTTTTTTTCACTGTAAAAAGACCAACAAACAACAATAGCCTGGAAAAGGTCTGTAGGCCACTGAAATAATGTAGACTATGAAATAACAAATATTGATCTGTGCATAGATTAATATTTGCATAAACATTTTGCTGACCTTTCACTTTTCCAGAGGTAGAAACAGTACTATCAAGGGTAGCATTCTGGATCTGCAAAAAAGGCCATAACACTTTAAGTTCTTCTCACCTACAATCTGTATAGAAATGCCCCCATGCCAAGGATGGGTTTATAAATGTCACCCATTTGACAGCTAGCTGCTAACACTTTGTCAGTGACAGCTTTAGTCCCTCCTAACACTCAGGAACCAATAACAGCGGTTATCGATCATGTGATGTCAGCCAAAAATGGCTTCAACTTTTAAAGGCTGCTGCATACTGTAGATGGCAGTATATCACTGCTTAATTGCTGTAATTGTCTGATTATAGTATTACAAAATATATACTGTATGTGTATATACTGTACATATATATTTTCTCCCTTCTTTTCATACACTCAGAGCCTTTAATAAAAAAACAGTGCACCAAATGAAAATATGTCCTAAAAAATATAGATATATAAATATTATATAGTCAAATTAACCAATATTTACTGATGCTGCTAAATGTATTCTGGGCATTTAGACCTTAATTAACTCTGTGCATGAAAGAGTTATACAGCTAGTGGTAGTCTGAGTGGAAATCAGGCTTCTGAAGGCAAGAATTGTTCTTTCTGGATCCAAAGACATCACCCTTCCTTGCCTGAATAGCAGTATCCTTTTTTTTTTCTTTTTTACTGGTTGAGGTCAACCAATAGAAAGAATAAACAATTAATTCCAGTTAACAGGGTAAGGAGGTATAAAAGGAGATAAACAAAAGATAAAATAAGTAATCTAGATTTTACCTGAGTTTTCACAGCTGCTAACTAGGCACTGCTAGAGAGATATGAAATTTTTTTTAAAAAAAGAGGCAATATTCAGCTTACAGCAGCCTCTACTGTTTAGCAACGGCATTGAAGGTGCAAATTTTGTTGTTTTAATACCTATCCTTGCATCCATGCATTCAGTGGAGTTTTGGAACACCTGCTACATCTATACTTGATATTCGCAATCTGCATTGAACATAGTGCACTAGCTCATTCATGGAGCCTGTGGTCTGTCCATGGAGCCTGTGGTCTGTCCAAATATCCCATCTTTAACTCTGGAAAATAAGTGAGCAGGATCTAGTGGAGATCACAATTCGATTATCAAAAGGTTACAGATTAAAAGTTGTTTCCCACCTGAAATGCCAGCAAAAAACAGGGGTGTGGAAGCCTTGATTTTAAAACATTGGAACTGCACCCCTCTGTCCTTCATAAATCAACATAATGTCTTTTTTTTTTTTTTAACAGAATGAAAAAATACTCTCAATCCCTGGTAATCCTGTGATTCCCCATGGTTTCCTCTAGTATTCGGACTACACTAACCATGGAAGCAGATCTGTGCTATTGTGGTCAGTTTGCATCCTTTCAGCTTGTAATATGACCTACAGCATGGCATGTCATCATCTAGCTTGCCTTTAGTTCTGCAGTCAGCCTGTGACATCACAGGCTAACAAGCACCCTACCAAGCTATGCTCACTTTAATTGTCATGAGCAGCTGTACTCTGACATGCCTTTGACATTCCATGTAACCATACCCCCCATCCAGCCAAAGAGCCATCAGAATGAAGTCTTGACATCATATGACCACTAAAATGAAGAAATGTTAGTACATTTTAGTATCTGTTAACATTTCGCTGAGTGTTACAAATAACCGAAAAATTCACATAAGTTTTAATTATGCTAAAAAATAATTACAGTACAAAACACACTAGGGCGATTTATAAAAAACTTAAAAGAAAAAGAACAAATGCAGTTACATACATACAACCAGATTCTTTGCATTTTTAACAGCTTGCCGCTCGCCCACAGTACAGCCTTTCTACCAGTTTTGAGCGCGCATGCATGCTCCCTGCTGACCCTTACTGTGTTTGGACAAATTGATTTTGGTTGAAACCTGCTGATCAGCTATGGCAATCATATCACAGAGCTCTGTGTTTACAAACACACAAAACTCTGTGTACACAGAACAGCGATCTGGCTGTTTCTTCTTCATAAAGTCAAATCTGACTTCAGAGAGAAAAAGCATTCAGATCTGTGAGTAACAGCAGAACACATTACACTTGTTAGGCACATAGTTAACCCCTTTATTGCCCCTTTATTTCCCCAGAAACAACCAACTGCTTTGGGTAGCTAGCTTAGAAGATCAGAAAATGTGAATACTAGCAACTCTCCTAGACATTATATTTCAAATTTGAAGCTCTAAAATACAACAAAAAAAGGTTATCCTTAAAGTGTTGCTAAACCCAGAACCCTGTATTCACTATATCTGGTCTCCCACAGTACACAGAACATGGCATTATATTTGCATTATTTTTGTAAATATAAACCGCTAAATACCTTTTTTCAGCAGCAGTTAGAGCACTCTTGTGACTTCAATCAGTGTCCAGCAGAGGACTGGTTAAAATGGCTGTAAAGGCTGAAGGTTTTTTACATTCATGCATTCTATACAGTAAGGTAAAAAACCATTCTGTGTACAGCAGTGCCCCCAACCCCCACAATACTTACCTGAGCCTCATCACGATCCAGCGATAGGAATGACAGCCTCAGCTGTCCCGGGTCTCTCCCCCCTTATTGGCTGTGACAGCAAGAGGGAGCCATTGGCTCCCACTACTGTCAATCATAGCCAGTGAGCCAATGAGGAGAGAGAGGGGGCAGGGCCAGGCAGCGGCTCCGTGTGTGAAAGCCTATATGGAGCAGTAGGTGCCCCCCATAGTAAGTTGCTTGCTGTGGGGGCACCCAACAGACAGGAGGAGCCAGGAAAGCCTGCGGGGGACCCGAGAAGGAGGATCCAGGCTACTCTGTGCAAAACCACTGCACACAGCAGATAAGTATAGCATGTTGTTATTAAAAAAAAAAAAATAACCTTGAGCCCTGGTTCACACTGATGCAGTGCGGAATGTGCAGCGTTTTTAGTGCGAATTCCGCACCGCATCAGAATCGCACCCCTGCGGGTGTGCATGTTAACTTAACAACACCCCGAAAGCGGTCTGCAAAACGCAGTGCAATGTGCAGAATCGGACCGCATAGGTGTAAATATCTATGCGATCCGATTCTAGTGCAGACCCAAAAAAAGGGTCCTGCACTTTTTTGATGCGGGAGCGGTGCGAATAGAGCCATACAAAATGTATGGCTCCAATTGCACCGCACACAAATCGCATGTGATTTGCACAGGAATGCAGTGTGATTCCTGTGCGAATCACATGAGATATACTGCATCGCATATATGTGAGCCCAGGCTGAGAATCGCTTTAAAGCTTGAAGAAAGTTTTCATTCTCCCCTCATTTTCCTATGAGGCTCCCTGACTCCCTGTCTGGACAGTGCTGATTGGCTCTGTGCTGATCACTTGCACTCTACCAAGAAAAAAAAAAAGTCTCTAGCAATACACACCAAGTTGAGTATGTACAGCTTGCCCCAAGGCTCCATTCTATCAGCAGATGAATCGAAGACAGTAGAAGGGGAGGATCAGAGAAGACAGGATCAAAAATCCTTTTTACACAATGCAGAGGATTCACCCCTTAGGTTTCACAGTGAGTATAATAAGCATGTTTTACTGCATATACAGACTGATTTTACTGGGTTTAGTAACACTTTAAAAGCAAACTGCATTAACCAATGCGCTAAAGTACAGTACATCAGATTACATTTAGAAAATGTAAGTTTGAATTTAACTTATTACACTGTCAGGTACTTTAACAAATGCTTTCCTATTACTTGAGCAATCGAAACAGAAGCAGCTATCCAAATAGTGAATGGATAAACAAAGGCTGAAACTATCCTAGGTTAGTAACCATAGAAAGAACAATTCAGTAATAATTCTAGTAGGTCAATATTAAGAACACTGAAAGGATTTCACAGACTTGGCATTCTAAACGAGAGATGCTTGTATTAGCTCATTGCATTTACCAATTTCCCCCCTTCCCACAACGTTTTGCGTTTAATAGCAAACCCAGCAGAATTTTTCTGGCAAAGAACTGAAAGAAAGTGCTCACTTAACAAGCAAAGAGCAAGAAATGCAAGATGGATAAATGAGAAAGTATGCACTGCTCACAGCATTAGCAAAAATGGCATTTAACAAAAATGAGAATAGAGAACAAGTAATTGTATCTTAGCAAAAAGTTAGAATGAAGGACTTGCCAAGCACATGATTAGTTCTAAAAGCTGCACTGTACAGAACAAAGGTTTGGGGTCAGTGCTATAAATGCTGAACTAAGCCAAACTATCTCCCTGAAGGGATTCATAAGGAATCCACTTATGGTTTATGTAACCAAAAAATGCAATACAGGATACATCTGATTAATGCAAAAAAAAAAAAAAAACTGTTAACTGTTGACAAAATATCAAAGCGCATAGGCAATGAATCTTTTATCTAAAAAGTTACAAGAACCATTAAAAAACAAACTACAGGATAAGCAAATATTGTCTAAGTACAAGAGGCACTGTGTCTTCCCAATTGTAAGGTGCACCTGTATGATGTATGCAACCAAAAAGGACAGGGATCCACTAAATCTATATCAGACCCTTACCCTAGATGAGGGCCAGATATAAAATGTTAATGGGGGTACCACAAAAAAAAAAAAAACACAGCGTGGGGTTTCCCCACTTGTGAAAAGGTAGGTGTGTGCCTGTATGTTTTTTTTTTTTTTACTTATCACAATTGTTTGTGTGGCTGTACTCACATGGAAGGGGGGGGTTGATTCAGAACACCATCAGTTTTAAAAGGGGGCTTCCAGCTTCCAATAAGCCTTCCACACGAACACCCACACAACCCCCCTGCTAGGATTGTGTAAAACAAGCTCCTTCCCCATCAACAGAGGACCCCCCTGGTGAGGTAATCACTTCATGTTGAGGGAATGTGGCTTGGAATGGTTCAGGGAGGAGGGAGGAGGGGGGGGGGTCCCTACAATCTTTTTTTTTTTTTTTTTTGCACGGGGTTCCCCCTTAAAATCCATAGTAGACTCTGTGAGGGATCCTTGTGCTTTTTTTTTCTAAAGTCACCCTTAAATCCATCCATACCACATCTGAATGGTCTGGTGAGCACGGGCTAGGTGAATCCCACATTTTTTTTCTCTTCAAACCCCACCCCTTTGTCTATGTTCTGCTTTCAGCCAGGAATGCTCAGCAAGACTTGATTCTACTTCGGCAGTAGACACAGTCCCTGTACCACTGCCAGAGCACACTGCTGTATACGGTCTGTGACTGCATATAGTTTATACAGCACTGACAAACAGAATCATCTGTAAGTCAAGCAAATAGTTCATTTGAACCAGCTTGGTTCAGAAAAACTATTTAAAGTCAAAGCAAACATGGAACTGGACTTTAAAGCAAAATCAATAAAAAGGAATATAAGCAGTGTTTATTTTACAGAATCTCAGAATGCAGTCAGCATTACCGTACACAGAAGATGGAACTTACCATTTATTGCAAACTCCACACCCCGCACCCAATCTTCATGTCCAGGAAGTATTTGTGTCTTCTGAAACTAGAATTAAACACCAGTAAAGTCAAACTATATATATATATATATATATATATATATATATATATGTGTATATCTTTACTAGAACTAAAAGCAACATGCATAGCTAATAAAAAAAATGGCAGAGTGAACAGTAATTGAATACTGTAGGTGTACATTTTCTAAGACTGGTTATTATATTTGCACAATATACAGGTACATACAAATACTTATACAGGACATTTTTTTGAAGGACATGGTCACTTTGCCCAAGGTGACGGTGTATCTGGACCCCCCCCTCCTCTTTGCAGTTCCTTGCTCCTCCACAGCTGACAAGATTACCTGGAAACTTCTCCGGGTGAAGGAGTATGTACCTTCTCCCCTACAACCAAGGTCACATGACCAGGGGACTGACATTATTGCTCCCCCCCCAAAGCCAATCTCATACCTGGCTGCAGAAGACTAAGGCGATTATTACGACACAGGTAACACAAGAATAAAGGTGGCGTATGATGCTCTTTCCACAGATACTACTGACATTGTCCTGCATGGGCAAGGTGCCAGTGTCTCTTCACATTTCTATGCAAAGTCTCCAACAGAAGGTCTGTAGCACCTATTATTCTTCCAGCCAACAACAGTTAAAGTGATACTAAACACACACTGTTTAATTTACATTATTCCTTCTCTTTCTGTATGTGGATAAAGGCACTGTAATTATTGTAATTTAAAAAAAAAAAAAAAAACACATCTAAGTACCTTTTTCCTAATCAATATACAGCTATCACATGACCCAGTTCTTTCCCAGCCTGTTTGCAGGGAAACATAAGCAGCAGGAGCTTCTAATCCTCTGCTGCTGGTCACATGATCCAAAAAAAAACAAAACAGAAAAAAAAAAAAAAAAAAAAAAAAAAAAAAAAAACAGCCTTTGGGATACAGAGTAAAAATAAATAGTATCAGTAACCATAAAAGTATATTGTTGTACATATATATATTTGAAATCAGATCTTTATTATTTTGTGGAAACAACATGGTGTGGGTGGATTTCTGCCAGTCACAGATTGTGTCACACCCCTCCAGCCTGTGTCTTAGAATAAGAGAGAGGTGAAACAACCATTAATTTACATGTAATAGCCTACGCCCATTGTGTTTAGCTGGTTAATGGGCATGGAGGAGAAGGGAGGGAGTGGGCTGTCATTTGCCACTGTGTATACCCTCACATATGTGACTCTATAGTCACATGGGCTGTTTAGATCTTATAGGGAGGATATGCTCAGCATAGAAACTCACTGAAAACCGAGCATGTGCAAAGTCTACAACTGCAAAATCCCTAGATAAACTGGGGAACAGAAGGTGAAGAAAGAGACCAGTTTTTTGCAGAATACAGAAAACAAATCTCATAGTGACTGAGTATGAACAGGAAGCAATACACCATTTATTGATCGTTTTTACGAAGTGGGTTTACTGACACTTTTAATATGAGTAAAATGTATCCAGACTAGCGCAAATATTGGGCATCTAATGTCACAAATGGCCAAACATGACTGCAAAAGCAGGGACTAATGGATAGCGCAATACATTTACAGTAAAGAAAAAATAAATAAATAATAAATAAATGAAGCAAAAAAAAAAAAATAGGAGGCTGTCTATGCAATCCTCTTTCTGAATAAAAACTAGTTGCCTGGCTGCCTCTAGTAGTGCTTTTAGGGAGTGATCTGGAACACATATGCCGATTAAAGTCAAAGTGATGTCAAAGTTCATTACCTGCGTACATGTTCAAAGTCAGAATATACCAAAGTCACTGGATCACCATGACTTCCAGGTAACTAGTTTAATCTGAATCAGAAATCCGCAACATCAGGCTTCATATTTCTAGCTGCAGTTGCTAACTAGTATAACATACTGGTACACAACAGTGCCTTCATATACTTGTACAAACTTTCATGGCCCCCTCTATACATGAATACAGGGTCTTTCTATCTTCGAACCAGAACTGAGTGAAGAGTATTTTAAGGATTTGGCCACTTTAGCTCCAAAGGCAAGTTCACATCACATCAGTTTAGCAATTGTCCATAGCACAATGTTGTGGTGAAGTGGATTGTGGTGCAGATGTCAGCAAATCACATCGTGGTGCAGCTCCGCATATGATAGAATGAAGTGTCATATGTCATTTGTGAAATTTCAACAATTAAAAAAAAAAAAAAAAAGGGGGGAAAACAAAAAAGTAAACAGCACCTTGCATTATAAAAATGCAATGCACCGTCACTACACCATAGACACCAGCCTGCAAGTTAAAATGGCCAGTTATGTGCAAGCTATAGCTTGCAACACTGATCAGTGAATTCTGACAGTGGGGAAGTCTACTACCCACTGTCAGAATACAAAGACTGGGGGGGGGAGAATCCCTCATCCACACTGAGTAAGTGGATGGGATGTAGGAATTGAGTCAATTTTTTTCATTTGTTCATTACACTCACTGCTTGAACAAAAAGAAAAACCGGACTGATCTATGAGCTGCTGCAGCGGTGCTCAACCTCAGTACTCACTCATTTTCACAGTGAAGCTTTCTTTCACTCACAACTTCCTGTCCACCAGTCAGAACCAGAGATCAGCTAAAATTCAAAATGTCAGACTCTCTTGATCTTGAGTTCCTCTGTCGTCAAACTTGCACGGCCCAGCGGTTTGGAGACACTACCCTAAACAAAAATAACGAAACCCCTAAACTGCATGGATGGGGGGAGGGAATCACTGCAGGGTGAATTTTTCTAGCCTACTGACCTTCAGCTTTAACGTCCCTGGCGGTATGATTATTTCAGATTTTTGGTGCTGAAAGCGGTACCATTATATTGCATGGAAATATGTATTTTTTTTTATTGTAGGCTGTAATTTTTAGGAATAACTCACTGAAATCTGTCCGAACAAGAGTCTAGTAAACATTCTGGGTAGGATAAAACTTGAAACCCGAAATCATAAATTATAATTTAATAAATAATCATAAAAAATAATATATATAATAGATTTAATTCAATAATATAATCAAACCAAAAACACTGAAATTTGAAATATAGCACCAAGTTCGTAAATTGCTGAGGAAAGTCGCAAAATCGTTTTCAGTGTCTGATGACGAATTTCCCCACAAATCATTATTACTCAATTCTGCAAGTGGTTCTAATTTACGATCGCTGTTGTCTAGCTGGTCTAAAACCGCTGGTCAAAATGCAGGCAGGGCACAGGACAAAGCAGTAGGGACAAAATGTATGTGAAATGGTTTGAAACAGCAATGTTTTACTATGTGATATTCGTTTTACAAAAATAATGACATTTTGAAAAAAATTTTTAAATTTGCCGCCGTACGTCCCGACGTCACAGGGACAGGAACACGGAAGCCGGATGCCGGCAAGGGCCGGAGGAGATGGCCGGGGACGCTGCAGGGGACACATCGCGGGAGCGAAAGACAAGGTAAGCACACTGCAGGGACTCCCTGAGCAACGCCGCATGGTAAGCCCGAGTGTAGCTCGGGGTTACCGATCTTGGTACTGAAATTTTACCCCGAGCTACACTCGGGAATACCACCAGGGAGGTTAAAGCAGCTGGATTTTCAGAAAGGGGTTCTTGAGATCGTATTTTAGTATTCAGCAACTCCATTTCAGGCAATACACTCTACATAAAGGTTAACAGTAATTACAGAAACATGTTTTTTTTTTCTCCATCCAGTAATTACAAAAAGATAAGAAACTGCCTTATTACTCAAGACTTCAAAATGCAGACTATACATGAGAATTGTTTTTTTTGCAACGGTTATCAAGGCAGAGCTAATGTAGTTACTGCAGCAGCCATGAAAGACAGCAGCAGGCTATACATCAAAGATGATGAAAATAATGGTAATTTTTTATACAAGTAAACCATTACCAACTGTGAAAGGAATAACTACCTGCCCATCCTGTTTAACATACAAATGGACCCGGCTGTCATCTCCTCCACAAGCTAAAATGGCCACTGGAAAAAGAAGAAACAGTGAGACAATTTCATTAAACTAAAAAGGATGCAGGCAGTAAAAGGAGCACTACAATGCTACAATTACACGAGAAGTACAGACAAACATTACAGAGCATTGCTATGTGAGAAGTCACTCTAAATTTACTTGCACTAAAGAGCAATCAACTAATAAAGGCTCCATAGAAGATGCATTGGTAGTAATGAATAAGTGTAAATTTGTGACAAATATAAAAATCAGCTGTAATACTGCTTGGCCGATTCACACTTAGCCCAGCCTCCACTTTCAATGTGTATATTTTATTACCACTTTGCAAAGTGCACTGGCCACATCTGCATCATTGATCCCCAAAGATTTCATTGATCCCCAAAGATTTCTATTAATCTATCTCTCAAACATTTCCAAACACCAGAGACAGCAACATAGAAGTCTGAGGTCATGGACTGTACAACCATGGCCAGCACAAACATATCAATGAAGGGTTACAACGTTGAGGCGGGCCATGGTTCCAAGACACAGGTAAGGATAAATCAGAAGAGAAGGATAGAAAGGAAAAGTGCACTCAAAAAATGTATTCAGTGTATTTTACTCAAAATTTGTGTTTGATAAATGGCTGCACAAATATAGTGACATAAAAATATGCAACAATCACTATTTTATTCCCCATGATTTCTGATTTTGAAAATATATAATATTTGGGGTTTCTAAGCAATTTGCTACCAAAAAATCATTTTAGGATGTGAAAAATGCCAAAACCGCCCCACCTAGCAAGAAGTTAAAATATTATAGGACACCAAAAACCTCTGCAAATAGGACAGTTTACTTCTGCCTCTATTTCCCTGTGCCAGTACAAAACATAAAACTTTGTTTACTCTCTGCAGTCTACACAATAAGATGCTTGTACAAGAGAATTCAGAAAAACAAGAAAGGCATCCCTAAAGATGTGCTCCCTGATTTCCAAAATCAATACATAGTGGCCTAAATTTTACATTTATTTCTATTTATACTTTATTATTTTATATATTTACTGTATTATTTATGTCACAAAGCAAAACACCAGTTTCATAACCCTTTTATAGAAACAGGCACTAGGTTCAAACTCTATTCAGGTCACTGAAATAGGGCCCCAAAAAGCTCCTGCTGATCTTATGAGCTTTGCTTTTGTGATCAATATTGTTTTGATCCTCGTCAGTTTGTATCCAATTTGCCTGTTTAATGCCTGCCTCACTCTTTTTTGTTATCGGACTCTTATCAAGCAGGGGCACAGTCTATGCTTAGGTCAAACCAGGCAGCATTCAAACAATTAGATTCTTCACTTTGACTTTTTGCTTGTGGGCTGCTGTCACTCAGGCAAAGCCGAGGGGACTGTGACCAGGGGTGCACTCTGCACAGTGGCTAAATGGTTAGCACTTCCGCCTGGCAGTACTCAGGTCGTTGGTTCGAATCCCAGCCACGGCACCTCCTGCCTGGAGTTTGCATGTTCTCCCTGTGCCACACACGTGGTTTTCCTCCGGGTACTCCGGGTTCCTGCCACACTCCAAAGACATGTGGTAGGTTAATTGGATCCTGTCTAAATTGGCCCTTGTATATGAATGTGAGTTAGGGACCTTAGATTGTACACCCCTTGAGGGTTAGGGACTGATGTTAATGTACAATATATATGCAAAGCGCTGCATAATTTGACAGCCCTATATAAGTACCTGAAATAAATAAAATGGACCCCTCCAGCACTAAGGTGAAACAGACGTTTCTACTGAACAATTCCAAAACAGCTGCTTATAGTAGCACTGCTACACAGCCAAGATCTCTGCTGACAAAGTCACATTAGATCCCGGCAGTTACAGCTGTGGGCATTTGCTCAGTGGGGAAAGACTCTGGGGCATATTAGGTGCATCCGAGGTCCTCAATGCAAGTGCAACAATAAATGACTGGAAAGCCATAGAAAAAGTAACACTTTTCTGACCTAAATCTGGAAGATGAATGGCCACCACAGCCTGCTAGAAGCAGTGCTTTAGTTAAGTTACATAAGTTAATATGTGTTACTGAACTACTAGTTACCTCTACTAGGGCAGTAATTGTTCTGCAAATTGACAAAATGTAGAAGTATTCAATTTTCATCATTTTGCTAAAGAATTTTAAATTAAATTGACCCAATTTCTGCATTCACTTTTACACTGATATAATTCAACCTCTACTTACCCCGAGTGTCGGGTAAAACTGATAGGCAGACACCCTGTACAAATCCATTCCCAAATGACAAGGTTTGGAGACATTCAGCTTAAAAAAAAACAAAAAAACACACAAGATAAAACATTAGGTATTTTCACCTTAAAAACATGACTGTCTAAGGCCTGGTAATGGTGTTAAAAGGATGGCTTTTAAAGGTTATGCTGAGGCTACAGAGTACAATTGACATTTTCTGTTTCTTGACTGCTGCAAAAGTAGATATACACTATGAAAGTATTGAACTTTCATCAACAGAGATGTCCAAAGATATTAAAGAGTATAGCAAGAGTGGCACCGACCTCTTATTGGGCAGTAGGGGGGCCAAAATCTATAAAGGGCTATGGTAGCGACCTCTAGATTTTTAACATTCCCCTGTCCTGGTAGCAAATATCTGCAAGGCAACCTTTTTTCACATTTTACATCAAGTGTTATTAAGCCCTCAATTGTTTTTTTTTTTTATAACTTTCAGCATCTGATTTAAAGGCCAATGCTATTTTTGTTATGCCATGTTACACACGTATGTGGAGTGTTACATATATTATGGTACAAAGCGAACCCTCCTAATCGTTGATGCCACATGGACGTAATGGAAATCTTAGACCTCTTGGATGCCAAATGGACAAGGATAGATCTTTTAAGACCTTAAGCATCCAAAATCAATCAGTAATGTGCTCATATCACATAAAGCCTGTGATACTGTGGATGCAGTGGCAAGTGATAGGTCACTATTCAGCAACTGCAGGAGACATGTTTGTACAGATGTTGCTTAGGACTTTTATGAGGGTTTAACTTACCTGAAATGATATGACAACATTTCTGATAAAGGACACGTTTTGGCAGGTCTTAAGAGGTCTGTTTTGTCTGGTTGAAGCATCTGTGGCAACCACAGTTAGGATGAATATACAGGTACATCATGCATCTGCCCAAACAGTGTCTGGTAAGTATTTGGACATATTTAAGAGGACCTAGTGGATGGTTTTAAAGTACATTCACAAAGTGTTTAAACTTGATAATTTTGTATGCAGTGTTTGTAGTTTGCAAAATTACAGCCCCACAGCCATCTCCAGGCTTTGAGAGAGAGGTAGACAAGCACCCTAAAGAAGTCAATTGGTCTGCACGGCGCAGCTTCAGCCAGAAGAAGTCTTCCATGGCTGGATGTAAACAAACAACTGACACCGTGTCCATTGGATCTCATTAACCACTTGCCCTCCAGAGGATTTACCCCCCTTTCTGACAGGCCATTTTCTGCACGGTTTACTGTAAGTGACATTTGCACGGTCATGCAATGCAGCACCCAAATGAAATTTACGTCATTTTTTTTCCCACAAATTGAGCATTCTTTTGGTAATATTTGATCGCCTGTGCGTTTTTAATTTTTTGCGCTAAAAAAAAAAAAAAAGACTGACAAATTTTGAGAAAAAAACAATATTTTTGACTTTTTGCTATTAAACATGTCCAGTAAAAAATTTTAAAAATCAAATTTTCGTCATAAATTTAGGCCAAAATGAATTTTGCTACATGTCTTTGCTAAAAAAAAATCCCAATACATGTAAATTAATTGGTTTACATGAAAGTTATAGCGTTTACAAATGGCGGTATATATACCTAGATTTTTTTTTTTTTTTTTTTTACTAGTAATGATGGTTATCAGCAACTTAAAGCAGGACTGCAGCGGGCATTCTGACACTGGGGGGAGCTGACTTGGTGTCATTGACATCCCCAGTGACACCAATACAGTGATCAGTGCTAATAAAAAGCATTGACACTGTACTAATGGTACTGGGCAGGAAGGGGTTAACATGTGGGGCGATCAAAGGGTTAACTGTGTGCTGGGTGTGTTTTACAAGGGGGCTGTGTCTGTGTGCTTCACTTAAAGCAGTGTGCAGGAGCTGACAGGAAGAGAACTGTTTTGTTTACTAACAGTTCTCCCCTCTCATCGGAGATCTTCGGCAATCACTGGTCGCCAGTAAGTAAACACTGACCAGGACCTGGTGATTGACAGCCACAGCCGCAAACGGCGGCGAGCAAGCCACCTACCCGGAAATGCAAAATCACATATATGTACGTGATTTTGCGCACCCGCACTGCCCTGTACCAGTATATCTGCTATAGGGCGACAGGAAGCAATTTAAGGATAAGATCAACTTTTTAAAAAAAATAAATGCAATTCTTTCTGACGATAAAAAAAAAATGTGCATTTATTATTTTTTTTTTTTTTTTTTTTACTTGCAGCCTGTAGAGCACTGCACCCACGAGCCATGCAGGACTCCTGCAGACTTATCAGTGTATCTGTCTGCTCATACCTCGTATAGGCAAGCAGATACCCTCTGACAGGAAGAGAAAATGAACTACCAAAGCGCTCAACAGTGCCATGGCAGTTCATTGAGAACTACAAGCTGACAGCAGCAAAAGCTGTTGGTACTTGTATTTTCCCAATCACAGAACTCTGTGAATGAATCACACGGCTAGGCGGAGTCCCACAGGGCTGTGCTATTTTTTTTTTTTTTTTTTTAAAACAGTGACAGCTAGCAGGGAGAAAAGAACCCCTGCTGGCTGTCACTAGATGCAGAGGAGCGGGAACATGTTACATGTTTCAACCCAAAAACGGGTGGAACATGTAACATGTTCCCAAAGGTGAACTTAGCCTTTAAGTATACATCTGTGGAAGGAGAAGATGGGATTGGTTAGGTTAGGGCAAAGGTGCAAAAAGAATAAGGGTACTTTGTCTGAAAGTGCATTATTATTATTATTATACAGTATTTATAAAGTGCCAATAGTTCGCTCAGCGCTGTACATTACAAAGGGGGACAGAACATGCGACAGTACAATACCAATATAATGCGATACACGAGGGGTTCGAGGGCCCTGCCCTTTCGAGCTTACAATCTAGGAGGGAGGGGATGGTGGCACAGGAGGAGATAGCTGTGGGGGATGGAGTGGTAGGAAGAGTGGAGGAGGTCGGCAAGTTAGCAGGGTAGGGTAGGCTTCCCTGAAGAGATGGGTTTTCAGGGTGCGCCTAAAGGAGAGGACAGGAGAGTAGGTGATAATCTGATGGGTTGGGGCAGGGAGTTCCAGAGGATGGGTGACACCCCGGAGAAGTCCTGGAGGCGGGCATGGGAGGAGGACACCAGGGAACTACAGAGAAGGTGGTCTTGTGAGGAGCGGAGTGTGCGTGCTGGGTGGTACTTGGATATTAGGTCAGTGATGTAGTTCGGGGCAGTATGGTGGACAGCTTTGTACGTCAGTGTTAGGATTTTGAATTTGATCCGTTGCGCAATCGGAAGCCAGTGGAGGAATTGGCATAGGGGGGTGGCGGTAACGGAGCGGTTGGAAAGGTGAATGAGTCTGGCTGCCATATTCAGGATCAACTGAAGCGGGGATAGCCAGTGGTGAGGCAGGCCAGTGAGGAGGGAGTTGCAGTAATCGAGTCGTGATATGATAAAGGAGTGGATGAGCTGTTTACTGGTTTCTGGGGTTAGAAACGTGCGTATTGTGGTGTTGTTGCGGAGGTGGAGTCTGCACGAGCTTGTTAAAGATTGGACTTGGGGCTGGAAGGATAGGTTGGAGTCCAGAATGACATCAAGTGCTCTGGCCTGCACGGCGGGTTTGATGGTAGCATTGTTGGACATGATGGAGAAGTCAATGGGGGGTGGTGTCCGGGCTGGGGGGAAGAAAAGAAACTCTGTCTTGGAGAGGTTCAGTTTAAGGAAGTGGAGTGACATCCAGTCAGATATGTTGCTCAGTAGGTGTGTGATTCAGGCAGAGACTGAGGGGGTGAGGTGGGGGGTTGAGAGATAGATTTGTGTGTCGTCGGCATATAGGTGGTAGTTGAAGCCGTGAGAGTGTGAGTTGGCCAAGGGAGGAGATGTAGATGGAGAAGAGAAGGGGCCCGAGGAAGGAGCCTTCAGGGACCCCAACAGAGAGGGGGAGTGAGGGGGGGAGGTGGTAGCATTATAGGTAACGCTGAAAGAGCGTTGTGACAGGTAGGATGAGAGCCAGGAGAGAGCAGAATCTCTGAGGCCGAGGGAGTGTAGTTTTTTGAGGAGGAGGGGGTGGTCGACTGTGTCGAAGGCCGCCGAGAGGTCAAGGAGTAGGAGCACTGAATAGTGGCCATTAGCTTTGGTGGTTAGCAGGTCGTTGGAGAGTTTGAGTAAGGCAGTTTGGGGGTTCTTTATTCCTTTAGCTTTGTAGACCCATTCTGTTATGTATGAATTGTACAGAAGAATAAAATATGTTGAAATTGCTGACCTCTCTATGAAATTGCTAGTCGCCTGGCTATCATGCATTAAGTAATGACTTGCATATTATGACACTTGTCCTGAGCAAGTATGCAGATAAGGAGTTCTGACTGTCCCAATCTGGATGCATGCTTCATGTCAGAGTCTCCAAAAAAATCAAACAGGCAGCTAGGTTTCCGGAAAGATGTTGGCAAAAACAACTTCCATATTTCTTTCTCTGCAGATTTTTTTATAAATGCTTCCCAACACGATGCTTTTCCATCTAGTGTTTTCTAGCCAAGATTAGGAAATAGTTATGTTTATGAGGCCTTATAAATATATTGGCAGGTAGAACAGTTTATATATACATATTTTAAAACTGTGTGTGTAAGGTCTCATGCAGACAGTCAGTTTGAGACTTACATTCTGCTCTAGTTTCAAAATTGCAGCATTTTTTGCCATTCAGAGAGCCACAGGTAGCGTGTATAGTCTGCTACAGAAGTGAATGGCTGTAAACAGTTGTACTGTGCTATACACCACTGTTGCACAAAGGTGCCATGCATCAGTGTTAACATGCACATATGACATAATTCTACATTTGAGGAACACATCTTACACGTTTTTCCTGGACCTAGCATTTACAGTTTTAGTGTTGCACCTCTTTTAGCAGAGTGTATCCTACAACAGTTTATAAAAACTCCCTGCATTTCATCTGCACAGCCCAGTCCCACATCAATTCAGTGCTAGAGCAAGGCTCAGTATGTTTAGGACTACTCTGGGGGACATAGAAATGAAATGTGACTTAAATTATATGGAACCCAAGACAATCTCTACTGGTTTCGGTTTATTATTATTATACAGGATTTATACAGTGCCAACAGTTTGCGCAGCGGTTTACAAAATGAAGGTAGACAATACAGTTACAATACAATTTGGTACAAGAGGAAACAGAGGGCCCTGCTTGTTAGAGCTTACAATCTAGGAGGAAGGGTTGAGTGATACAAAAGGTAATAGCTGTGGGGGGGGGGGGGGGGGATAAGCTGATGGAGGAAATAAATGGCGGTTTACTAGGTAGAAGCAGGATAGACTTCTTTAAAGAGAAAGGTTTTCAGGGATCGTCTAAAGGTGGATAGATCAGGAGACAGCTGGACAAATTGGGGTAGGGAGTTCCATAGGAAGGGAGAAGCTCAGGAGAATTCCTGGAGGCGAGCATGGGAGGAGATGACACGGGAGCTAGAGAGCAGAAGGTCTTGGGAGGATCGAAGAGAGAGGGGTTGGTTGATGTTTTGAGACCAGGTTGGTGATGTAGCTGGGGGAAGAGTTGTGGATGGCTTTGTAAATTGTTAGTATTTTGAATTTTCTTAGTTGGGCGAGTGGAAGCCAGTGGAGGGATTGGAAGAGGAGTGGCAGACACTGAATGGTTGGTAAGGTGGATGAGCCTGGCAGCAGTATTCATGATGGACTGGAGGGGGGATAGCCTATGTAAAGGTAAGCCAATGAGGAGGGAGTTGCAGTAGTAGAGAGATTACCAGGGAGTGAATTAGAAGCTTTGTGGTATCATTGGCTAAAAAGGGGTGTATTCTGGGGAGGTTGAGGCGGCATGATTTGGACAGGGATTGGATGTGGGCCTGAAAGGATAGTTCATGAATCCATGGTTGCACCTAGCACCTTGGCATGCAGGGATGGGTTGATAGTGGTGCTATTGATCCTGACTGAGAAATCAGGGGAAGAAGCACGTGGGGGAGGAAATTTTATGAGCTCAGTTTTGGATAAAGTGGAGTGACATCCAGTCTGATATGTCTGTTAGCAAATAGGTGATACACAAGGAAACTGATGGGGTGAGCTGAGGAGTAGAGAGATAGATTTGTGTGCCATCAGCATAGAAATGGTATTGAAAACCATGGGAACGGGCTATCAGCTGACCCAAGGAAGAAGTGTAGATTGAGAATAGGCAAGGTCCAAGGAGAGAACCTTGGGGGACCCTGACAGAGGAGTAGTAGAGTAGGAAGTAGAGTTGTAAGTGACAATGAAGGTGCAGTATAGTCACTAATAGTTAAAGAATATAAATAACACAATGAATTATGTGAAGGATAATATTAAAAAAAGAAAAAAAAAACAACTTACTTTTTGACTGACTTCTTAACCATATTCGGACAGTGGAGTCAGAAGCAGCAGATGCCACAAGAAGGTCATCCCCAGATTCTGCTGGCCTATAGACAGCGTGAACAGCACACACAGCCTCAGTGTGACCTTCCAGTATATCCTTGTGTACACACTGCAGAGTAGACAAAAAACAGCTCTGAAGTTATTATTTACAACTCTCCAGGGTTTTTTTTTTTTTTGTAACATCAGCAACCAATACCCTGGCAGCGAAGCATATGGCAAAAGCGAGCTGAAACATCTCAAATATTGTTGGCTCCAAGTCATTTTGAGAAAAAGTTAGAATGGCTTATTTGTGATACGATTCTTTGCCTACATATTTCTGACTTGTCTTTTAGTGGCACCCTACAGATTCTACATTATGGGAAAGTTCATCAGTTTAAAAGCTAATAATCAAGTAGGTTCCATAAACCTAAATCAGAATTCCAGAAGTGCTTTAATTAATAAAAAAAAAAAAAAAAAAAAAGAAGAACAAAAACACCCTTGTGTTCACTGAACAAAAATGCAAGGCAGTCTCTGTTGTAAATGGAAGCATTACTGAGTTAGCATCCCCCTGTGGTCAGTGTGCAGTGGGGTAGGTGCTCCCATAAAACATGAGCAGGATGTGGAAGATTATGTCTATCACTGTAGTAGTGTCAAGTACTACTACAGTGACTTCCAGCTTACCCAGCAGTCCATCAGGTATGATAAATGCATACTTTACCTCAGATTGTACACTCCTTGAGGGTTAGAGTCTGATGGAAATGTACAATATATATATGTAAAGCGCTGCGTAAACTGACGGCACTATACAAGTACCTAAAATAAAAAAAAATACTTACAGTTCAATTTAGCACAATGCAAGTATGTAATAAAAATAATTTCTAGAGTTCAGCTTTTGGATTAATAAAAATTAAAAAGTTCCTTGCATCCCATTTCTTACTAGCTTCTTACAATTTTTAGTACACCAAGTACAGCAGTGTAAGATAGGGATGGCCAGCATTATAGGCCATGTGGGCTCTACTGATATGCATCTAACACATACAGTGGTGAGAATCTCAAGTGTGTCCTTTTTTGTGCAATCACGGGCAGGATTTAGATCAGAGTGGTATGGCTCCACAGCAAGGACATTTAGGACCACGCTGAGGTGCTTTGCTAGGGTGTCTACATCTCAAGACTGGCTTAACAGAATTACAGATACCCGAAAATGCAAGCGCGTTCAAATATGTATATTTCAGCAGTGTATGGAGCTGTATTATTCAAGTTCAAGTAGAACTAAAAGGCACAACTTTCTTTTTTAATTTTTGGATAGAGTAAGGGAGAGTTAAAAACCCTTGGCAGTTTTATTGTTTTGTCCTCTGTGTCCCATCAGAGATTTCCCTTTTCTTTCTTCTCCCGTAGCTAGAAAAGTAAATGACAGGAAATCCCTTTGAAGTGAAGAAATCACCAGTTGTCACTGTGTTTACCAGAGATGGTGGCCCCCACTGAAAGGTTTCCGTTCTATTCCTGTTCTAGGGAAAACACAGAATTTGGGATTTCCTTTCATGTTCACTCTTGGTGATAACTATAAACAGGATAAATAGAGGGAGGCGAAAAGAAATAAAAGGACAGGTGTTTTAATCTCTCTTCACTCTAACCAAAATGTAAAAAACAAAAAAAAAAGTTTTTTTTTCAGCTTTACCCACCTCCCACCTGCCATATAAGGAAATGATGGGCACAAGGCGGTTTTCTTGTTCTGGGAGGACGTTATATGACGTCCTTCCACTCTAACCGCACAGGCGCGGCTCCAGGGGGCGCGCAGCGCGGCAATCGGTGGTGCGTTGTGTCCCTCAGACACAGCGGATCACCTATCAACGGAAAGAGCCGAAGACGTCAGCTCGGTCAGGTGATCAGCGGTGTCCAATCACAGCTGATCGCATGTAAATAAGGAAATGCCAGTTATAGGCATGTCTGTTCATGAGCTGTCACGCTGACAGCTCGGGAGGAGAGGAGAGCTGGTAAATGGGCATTCCTCAGAGGGGACATGTACACTAATCATCAGGGCACTGATGATCATGCCCTGATGTATCAGTGTAGCCCCAGCAGTGCCACCTGTCAGTGCCAATCAGTGCCAGCTCTCAGTGCTCATCCATGCCACCTGCCAGTGCCACATCAATGCCACATATCAGTGCCCATCTGAGCTGCCTTTCAGTGCCGTCTATCAGTGCCACCTAACAGTGCCAGTCAGTGCTGCCTATCAGTGCTGCCTTTCAGTGCCCATCAATGATGCCTGTCATGCCAATCAGTGCCACCTACCAGTGCCTCCTCATCAGTGCAGCCTATCAGAGCCCATCACTGCAGCCTTATTAGCGCACATCAGTGAAGGAGAAAAATCACTTGTTTACAAAATTTTGTAACAAAAACTAAGAACAAAATTTTTTTTTCAAAATTTTCAGTTGTTTTTGGTTTGTTTAGCAAAAAATAAAAAAAAAACCCAGGAGATGATTAAATACTATCAAAAGAAAGCTCGGTCTTAAAAAAATGATAAAAATTTCATATGGGTAGATTAGATGTTCCTCATAAGTGTAACTTGCGAGCCACTAAAATATTCCTCTGAATCGCTAACATTTACCACATAATCAAACTGTGTAAAAAAGACCATATAACTAAAAAATGTCTTACGGCTCACACAGGCTAAATATCTCTATACACAACAAATAATCCTAAATAATTAAAAAACAATAATAAAATTAATATAAAAATATATAAACTTCTAAAAAAACAATAAATGATAACATATAGCAATATGTCTAATGCAATAATTTTAAAACTACTGAAGTTGATTTTAAAAAATTTTTTTTGGACTATTTGAGTAATGGGACTGTTTTTTTTTTATTTTATTTGATTCACATCACATTTAACTTGATATTCATTTATTTATGTATGGTATATTATTTGAAGTCATTAATTTATAAGTTTGTTAGAGATTGGGAGCACAACATTTTTTAGTTATATGGTCTTTTTTACACAGTTTGAGTACGTGATAAATGTTAGCGATCCAGAGGAATATTTTAGTGGCTCGCAAGTTACACACACACATATTTTCAGTATAACATGCCTATAATTTTTTTTTTTATTGCCTTTACTATCACATTAAGTTTGTCACAAGCAGAAAAAAATGCACTGGCAGAATTTCTGCACAGCACTCAAATGACCCTATTAAATAGAACGTGGAAAGCATTTCTGAAACAAAGGTAACATGGCTAGACAACCCAAAGGTGAGACGAAACATAGGTTACATAAAATATATTTTGGAAGAACTAAAACAACTTAAACCCTTTTACTGCTATATTTTCTTGTCTCATTTTTATTTTATTTTATTTTTATTTTTTTTTTTTTTTTTACACATTTCTTTAGCTGCTTCCTGGTTTCTGGCCTAGGCCAAAAAGTAAGTCATACATCCCAAGAGTCTTTATGGGCACTTTTTTTTCTTTCCCTTGGAGGAGAGGAGGAAGAACTCTCTCAGCTAAGCACACCCTGTTGCCTGCATGAGCTTGGGGCAGATGGATTCCAGGAAGTAAATGCTTCATCAAGCATTTGCCCTGCTCAAGATGGTCACAGCTAGAAATGCTAGGAAGGGGCATTTTTTCAAACAAAAGGTGATTTCTTGACAAAATAAAGCATGGAGACATGAATAGATGGGAGAGCTTGCCTTGCAGGTATAGTTGGGTACTCTTGATGAGAGTCTGTGACAGCTCCTATAGTTCTATTAACCCTTGCCACACCAGAAGATGATCATGGCAGGGGGTTACATGGGTGAAGGAGGATTTAATCCAACAGAACAGGCAGCTTTAGACACATCTGCACTTCCAATATGTGTATGCTTTGTACATAACTAATACTGGAAACAAAAGCATGTTCAAAGTTGGGATTAGCAATAATTGGCTAATGCTTTTTGGGTTTACACCACTTTCCTTGTTTATACTTTAGTAATATTACGTAGGTATAGTATACATTTTAATAGCCTAATGCATGGTTACCTGGAACTTCTTTGTCTTCCAAATGATCACTTTTTTATCAGATCCACCAGATACAAGCTCAGTTTCAGCACCTTAAGTAAAAAAATGAAATAAAAGTATCAGTTATTATACAGGATTTATATAGCGCCAACAGTTTGCTCAGCACTGTACATTATATCAGGTAAAGTTGAACACTTGAACAGAAAAATGAATGCAGCTCTTTAGTCACTAATGCATCATTAAGTTTATTTTTTAATGTAAGCGGTCTAAGTACCTGAATTTACCCTACCATCAGCCTCTTCCACTCCATGTACAGCAGGGTTGGAGTGTTAAAGGAAGAAGCAGTACAAGGAGCCAATCCGTTCATGTGCTGACCAGAAGCATGCGGATAGGAAGAGAAAGATGAGTGACAAAGATGAACTCAACACTATGCTGTTTCTTCTTTCACTCTGCAGTCATAAACTGGAGCAGGCGCAGGATGACCTGGGCTCAGAGTAAGTGGCTTAAAGAGGTTGTAAAGCCTAGACTTGCCTTGCATTAGGGTAAACAATGTTTAGGTCACCCCTTCTTGGTTGTTTCGCACCCTCACCCCCCTTATATCTACATGATCCCTCATTCGATCCAGCATAGTGCCCATCTGCAGCGCCTCTATTCTCAGAGACTTGGCTGAGAGAGCAGTGGGAGCCATTGGTTCCTGCCACTGTCAGTCAAATGAAAAGGAGCGTGGGGCGGGGTCAAGCCTTGTGGTCCGTGTTAATGGACAGAGACAGCAGTGCCCAGGATCAAGCCCGCAGCTGTGCCACAACAAGAAGCAGCTTCCTATGATGGCACAATGAGAAGAGGAGGAGCTAGGAATACTGGCAGGGGACCCAAAAAGAGGAGGATCGAGGCCACTTAGACGGAGGAGATTTTGTGTCATGAAAAAAAAACAAAAAAAAAAAAAAACCTTTTTGGAGGAAAATTTTGTATGAAGGGGAATATTGCAACAAAATCTGGTTTTGTAATTTCTTTCTTTCTGTTTTGTTATTATTGGCTGGAAGTCTGCTTTGAGCCTGGATTCACACTTGTGCAGTGCGGCAGATCGCATGTGATTCGCACAGGAACCGCACCGCATTCCTATGCAAAATCAAATGCGAATTCTGTGTGGTGCAATATGAGCCATACATTTTGTATGGCTCAAATCGCACCGCATCCACACCAAAAATGTTGCAGGACCCTTTTTGTGGTGCGCACTAGAATTGGATCGCATGGGTATTCACACCTATGTGATCCAATTCTGCACATCGCACCGCGTTTTGCAGACCGATTTCGGAGTGTTGTTAACTTAACTTAACATACACACCCGCAGCGGTTCGCATGAACGGGGTGTGATTGTGATGCGGTGCGGAATTTGCACAGAAACCGCTGCGAATTCCGAACCGCATCAGTGTGAACCCAGGATAAATGTTTAATCTGACAGACTAAATTAAACATCTACAAAGTTATGACGGTGTTTATTTATTTTGCAATCTAATCAGTGTGTACAACATTGTAGTATTCAAATCAGACAGCTTCTTTGTTAACCAACCTAAGAAAGGTATGTGGTTATGAAGGCTCCCTTAGAAGCAGCCTCTCCAAGGCTGCATCCTAATCACAGCGCAGCAACTCATTGTTCTAGAGCAGTGGTTCTCAACCTGGGGGTCGAATGACCCTTTCACAGGGGTCGCCTAAGACCATCGGGAAAAAACATATATTATACTGTGTAGAAAGCAGCTACTGCGTTGAAAGCAGCTACTGCGTTGAAAGCAGCTACTGCGTTGAAAGCAGCAGTATTAGAGGTAAAACGACACTTCATGAATTATAATTACTGGGTAAATAATTATAGGGTTGGGGGTCACCAAAACGAGGAACTGTATTAAAGGTCACGGCCTTAGGAAGGTTGAGAACCAATGTTCTAGGCCTGGCACATCAAATTGGTCAATGAGTGTTTCCACCACAGCGGAAACACACTAATCGTGCTTTGTGACAGACTCCCCTTTGTGGATATCATTACAATGCAGTCAGACATTGACCGCACCACTACATATTTAATAGCACACATCCAAACATTCCTGTCATTTTCACAGAAGCCCTTACATTTGACCAGTGACAAAAGGGGTTAATAAGAATTGATCGTAAACGTATTACTCTTGCATATAGCTGTCCCAAAGACTTCTCGTCGCCATTTTAAATCCATCAGAAACATCATGAAAATAGATAAAGTAATGCAGACCATAGACGGTTCATTTATCGGCCAAATTTTCAGCCGAAAAACCGGTCGTTCTGTTGCCACCAATGATTACGAAAATCGGCCATTTTTCATAAATTTTCCAGCATGACAGATAAAAGAAATGAGGAGGAACTGCGAAAATCGGCCGACGACATTGCCCCACTGACGGTGCGAATATCGGCCGATTATTCTTTGCGACGAAAATTTGGCTGATAAACGAACCGTCTATGGCCTGCATAAGGAAAGGATGGAAATGTTGCAATCTTGGGCTGCCTCCAAAATAACACTTTAAATGTTGGTTATGTGTTAGAGAAGACACTAGTGGCTTGTGATGAGGCAGAACTTGGTTTACTTGTGTGGCTTAAGTTGCAAACATACAAAACATTTCAGAAAACTAACAGCAGACATCTTGGTTATAAAGAGAGAGAGAAGAGAGAGAACCAACAAGTTTTAAAGATATGCACAACTGGTAACCTTAGTGTACAGTGCCATCTACTGGTCAAGTGATATTAACACACAATACTGTATATAGTACATGCTGTTGCATCCCCAACATTAAATAGCTGAACCAATTTTTTCCATGCATATTTTACGCTTGAATGTATACACGCAACCACTCCTACCCCTACCGAAACCCAGAACAAAATTAGGTCACCACAGCACAGTGGCTAAATGGTTAGCACTTCTGCCTGGCAGTACTAGGGTCAATGGTTCAAATCCCAGCCATGGCACTACCTGTCTGGAGTTTGCATGTTCTCCCTGTGCGGGTTTCCTCCAAGTACTCTGGTTTCCTCCCACACTCCAAAGACATGCTGGCAGGTTAATTGGCTCCTGTCTAAATTGGCCCTAGTATGTGTATGTATGAATGTAAGTTAGGGACCTTAGATTGTATGCCCCTTGAGGGTTAGGGACTGATGTGAATGTACAATATATATGTAAAGTGCTGCGTAAATTGACAGCGCTATATAAGTACCTGGAATAAATAAAGGCACCGGTCACAATGCTGAGATTTAAAATCGCACGATTTGTGTGCAATTTCAGTGCGGTTTCAGGTGCGATTCCTGAAGACTTTACTGCTGCTTGTGAAGTTTTTCTATGATTTCTTGCAATTTGCAATTAGATTTCCATTATATTCTATGTATGTGAAATCGCAAAAAACTGCAGAAAAAAGTAATGCAAGTATGCAATGCAATACTTTAGAAATCATGCTGCAGCAAATAACAAATGTTAAGACACTGACATTTACATTCATTAGATGCAATTTCAGGTGCAATTACAATTCCCAAATTATACCGTTATGACCAGGCACTAACCCCCCAGTCACATCAAGCCCAACTTACAGTGAAGTTGCACGATTTCAAAGTCGGGTGGGATGCTGATTTTATGTGCAATTTGCAAGACATTTGACACAGAAGTCTTTGCAAAATCGCACCAAAAGTAGTACATGTACTACTTTAGAAATCTGTGCGGCTCCGACCAAGTCAGAACTGCACCGATTTGACCGCTCTAATTGCGGACAATTGGGTGCGACTTGGCATACGATTTGCAAGTCACATGGCATGCAAATCGCATGCCAAGTTGCACCCGATGTGACCGGAGTATAAAAGATGGTACTGCTGATTTTGTACATACCATGATAGTCGCACAGGTGCTTATTCAATTATTTAACACAAAACCATAATAAATCGTGCACACACAGACAAATATGATGCAAAACTGAAGAACTGACTGTATACAAAACTAAATGCAACATGTTTGCATATCATCTCACTGGATGGCCCTACATGTCACTGCACAGCAAGTGCAACACACTGCGTTGCTGTAAGGGGACATGAATGAAATGTCACTTGACAAAAAAAAAAAAAAAAAAAAACGCATCACACCAGCCCTGCCGCACATCATGGTAACCCAAAACAGACTGCTGTTCACACACCAAAGCACTGCGGTTTAGTGGGCAGGCAAATGTAAAAAGGCCCCTAATCCACTAAACCCTTTAGGCCCCTTTTAGCATTATCCACTAGTCACTTTTTTTGCTAACAAAAAACTGATGAAAACAAAATTCAGATTACATCAATGTGCACATCCATTGCAGTTCACATGCCTTTTGGCATCAGTTTTTTTTTGTTGTAGAAACCAGAGGTGACCAGTCAGATGCTGTCAAGCCCGAACTGTCATCGCTGCAAGGAGGAAAGAAAGCGGCAGGAATCTCAAATCCCCGCCGCGTTCTCTCCTCTCTTACCACTGACACTCAGCATGGGATGCCTGCAGGGAGGTTTCCCGCACTGCTCCTGTGTGAACTCGGGCAATGACAAGCCTGGGTTCACACAGGAGTAGTGGTGAAACGTGTGCGATATGGACAGGAATCACATGCCAATCCTTGCGGTTCAATTTGCATCCATTAATGCAAATCGCACCGCAAAGTATCGGTGAGGAATCGAGTATTTTCAGGAGTATGAGTATTTATGACTATTCTCGATATCAGCACAGATACCAATATCAGTGCATCCCTATTGAAAAAAAAAGAACAGGTGGCCAAACAGGTTGCAGTCACTTTAGAGGCCTACTGGCTAATTCTCAATCTGCCAAGGAACATGTAATGTGGGATGCTTTTAAAGTGCTTTTGCAGGGTGAATATATCTCTGCAATTAAGGCTGCTTGCTAGAAGAGTTCGCAATATGGTACAGCAGGAGTTGCAATCCCAGGAACTGTGAGGAAGCCTATGCGAATGACACTACAAGGGAGGCTTATTTTGCCCTTCTGGAATCAAGACACTTACTTTCTATTCATATGACTGCTCTCACTAATGCCTCACTTTTGTGGTGGGATTAGTCTCTGTTCGAAAACAGTGACAAA